TAGATGCTGTAGCTTGTAAGGTTCAAGGTGTCGAAAATTTTACTTCTAGTGCTTACTCATAAGGTTTTTAAGGGAAAAGAGCGAATTCTGTATTTTTTCCTCAATATTGGAATCTTTAAAATTGACTCGTCGTGTCCAACGACGATCAGGGGTCCTACAACGATCCCATTAAGCTACTAAATCGTTATTACATTTAAGACAAGTTTAGATCAGTAGTTTAGCTAAAAGGCTGTCTATAGAGTCCCTCAATGCCGAAAATATCTTTAATTTGCTTGATTAAAGTACGTCATTGAAGATTAAACCATAATTTATCAATGGAAAATTTGAGACATCAATGAATAGACACTGCCACTTGTTAAGGTTAATGACTGAATAATTTTTCCATCACATCAGCTCAATTTTAAAGTTAATTGTTATATCACCGACTTTTATTGAAATTTGAACCTTTTTCGTGCTGTTTTTAGACACTAAAGTATATTTTGCATAATATTTTTTCACAATCAAATTTTTCACTCACCACAACCAAGCATGACCGCTTCCTTTTCTTTTTAAATCATCACAAACAACTTCTTTTAATGTTTTTCTTTCTTCATAGGAACTGTTCACTGTTCCTTTAACAGCTATCACGTAAGCTAAAGTGTTTCCTGTCATTTTTTGTACACCTTTTTTTTTGATCTCTAATTTAAAATATTCTTAAGAAAGTTTTAATAAACTTCTTGATGGACTCTTTTGTTGAGCAAAGATTGAAATCTCACTGAAGATTTCTGGCCAAATATGCAGCATTTTATAGAGAGATGTTACAGACAACAAGTGACGTGAGGTGATAATTTCTTGACAAAATACTGAGGTAAAGTGATGCTAGGGTTGGGTTTGGTGTTTTTGAATGATTTGTTTGAAAGAATATTTTTTAAACTGAACGTTTTCGAAAAATACATATTGTTTGTGAAAAACTGAACTTATCTTAAGATGATTTAACATTCCAGAACTGAACATATTCTAAGATAATTTAACATTCCAAAACTGAACATATCCCAAGTTAATTAAACATTCCAGAACTGCAAACATCCTAAGTTAATTCAAAATTTTAAAACCAAATATATCACAAAAAAATTAACATTCCAGAACTAAACTCATCCCAAAGTAGTTTAATAGTTCAAAACTGGCCGTTTCCAATAAATCCAAAAAATAAATTTTAACCAAAAATCTCAACCTAAAAACCAACCCTAAATGTTCACCACCAAACAAAATAAAAAAATTTCCTGATCATATGGCACTGATTTCGGAAAGCAGCAACAACATCTGTGGCGTCACTATGCGAGGGGTGCTAATTGATACTAAGAATAAGTGGATAAAAAGTGGATTTGCTTTTGATGTGCGAAAAAATAAATTAAAATGTGGAGAAATTGATGACGACTGGCTTTATTTACGTTTTCTTCAGATCTTTGATGCTTTGTTTTGACTGCGTGACTTTTTTTTCAGATGAAGAGAAAAATGACGAATTTATCGAAAAATAATTAGTTTTGCTGGATTTTTTGGTATCATTTTTGGATTTATTTTGAGAATTTTCTATGATTTTATTGAAGTATTTGTCATGTTGATGACGATAGGCACTACTTAATTAGTTCACATTAATTGGTGACAACTTGAAAAAAAAATAAAATAAAATTTACGTAATTGCAATTTTGTTATGAACAATAAATTAATAGCTTAAAGACTTTGAAATGTTGACAATTTCTGCCAATTCTTCAAAATTCTGTTATTGCAATTTTTTAATTATGCACAAAAATTTATGCTGACTAGCAAACTCAATTAAGCAGTTCATTAATTTAATTTGGAAAATTATTTTCAGTCGAATTTAAGCCGTCGATTAGTTCACTTTAAAGGAAAAAAAAAACTTTTGAAAAAATGAAAAACTTTAAAATTTTGTGTTTAATTTTTCCTTTAATAATTTTTCAAGTTTCACAATCTGCGTCTATAAAAGTTGATACTGAAGACACTGAGCTCGTTCCAGATGTGACCAGCACTTTAATTAACGAAGATTCAACGACAGAAATTGAAAGAACCAAAAAGGAAGCAAATTGTTTTGAGACTAAAGTTAATGGACAGTCAGTTTTGCAATGTGCTGATTCGGAAGCATCGCCAACGCTCAATACTCCTGCATTTGCTCCACTACCTGGATTAGCAAGGCAAGGATTTCCTGGATTCGAGCATCAACAGCCATTGAATTTTCCAACTTTTAATAGCATCTTTCCAACTTATAAGGTGAGTTGACATTTAAATTTGAAAACAAAATTCAAATAAATTATTTTGCAATAAATTCAAACAAAATTTTTAAATTAATTCACTTTTATTTTAATTAATTCAATTTAATTTTTTGAAAAATTTTTTTATTTTTAAAAACTTAAAACAAAATAAAATAATTTTAATTTTTTTTATTTTAATTTAAATCAATTTTTAAAAACATTTTTTGAAATCTTTGACAATATTTTTGAAAAAACTTAAAAAGTAATAATTTTATAAAAAATTTAAAAATTTTGATTTTATTTTATTCTTAAATTTTAAAAAAATGGATTTATTCAAATAATTTAATTTAAACTCTTTTTTTTCATTTTTAATTTATTTGTATTTTAAAATTTTTTAAATTACATTTTTAATTATTTCATTAAAACTCTTTTTTCAATTTAGCCAGCAACTCAAGCAGCAACAACTACAACTCCTGCCTATCCTCAACATTATGCATCTCCAACCAATAAAGTATGTTTTTTTAACTTTTAAAATCAAAGATAAAATTTTAAAAAAGTTTATTTTCTCTTCAATTTTTCTCAGCCATCAAACACATACTCAAGCAATCATTTAGCAACAACGACAGCACCAAGTTACTCCATAACAACACCATCTCAAGCATATTCAGTTCCATCTCATTCATACTCAAACAATGTTCGTCCGACATACCCAAAACCATCGTCTCAACAATATTCTGAATATTCACAACCTGGTGCCTCATCTCAATCTCCATCTGGATCAACAGCTTACTCACAAAACCAACATCAATCATCTTATGGATCTGAGTCTAAACCATCATCCTATGGTTCAGACTCAAAGCCTACATCCTACAGTTCAGGCTCTAATTCATATTATCAACCTGCACCACAGCAAAATTCATATTCACATCCACAATCTCAACCGACGCAAAAGCCTGCTTACCAAAAACCATCATCAACATACCCAGCAACCCCGTCGTCATATTCACAGCAATATCAGCCATCATCATACTCATCTGCTCAGCCACAAGTTCCAAATGCTTACTCATCAGCTTTGTATTCTTATACGCAACCAGCCTACCAGGTGAGTCATAGAAATTTTATTAATAAAGTTAGGTGCTAATTTGAGGAGATTAAAGCTATATTAGCAAACATCTTCTGCTGCATATTGATTACATTCTGATCTCTTTTTTTAAGCCTTATCAAACTTACGAAGGCTACCGTGCATGGCCCGCAGCTCCATCTCAAGTAGACTACAGCAGTTCACAAAGAAGCTCAAGCTCATCGTACACGACTGATGCCAGTAAGGTTCAAGATGCACGTCATAAATACGAAAGTGCACTTACTGAATATGAAGCAGCACGTGCAGCTGAGAGTGTAAAGGCTAATGCAGAATACCAACAAGCTCGTGCCAGAGCTGAATTTGAAAGGATGAAGGCTGAATTTGAAAAATCTAGAGCTGATGATAGTGCAAGAGCAGCACAAAATGCTAGAATTGAATTCCAAAATGCTAAAGCTGCTGAGATGACTCAAGCTGAGCAGGAGAAAATGCGTGTTGATTATGAAAGATCGAGAGCTGACTACGAGAAGGCACAGATTGAGTATCAAAGATTACAGGCTGAAGAAGCAGCAAGAGCACAAGGAGACTACCAGCAAAGATATGCTGCATATCAAATTGCATTAGCTGAATATGAGAGAGCACAAGCTGGTTACCAAAACTCTCAAGCTGAGGAAGCTAGTTGGAACCAAATCAACTATCAACAGGCACTAGAAGATTCTCAGGCTCGAGCAAGAGCTAATTATGAAAAATATCATGTAGACCAAGCTGCTAGAGCTCAAGCTCAATACTCAAGTGCTCAAGCCGAACAATCAGCACGTGCTATGGCTGAATACCAAGCAGAACAATCCGCAAGAGCCATGGCTTCATATCAGGAAGCTCAAATAGATGCTCAAGCCGAACATGCTGCACAAATCGAATATCAAAGAGCACAGGCTGAACAGTCAGCAAGAGCAATGGCTGAATATCAGGGTGCTCAAGCTGATCAAGCAGCAAGAGCTCAAGCTGAATATTCACAGGCTGCTGAAATCGCAAGAATGCAGTACGAAAACTCAATGGCTATAGAAAAAGCACGAGCTATGGAAAGTTCACAAATGGAAATTGAAAATGCTAGAGCTGTAGCACCTATGAAGCATATCCCACAACCTGTCTATGCTGCGCCATCAGTACCTTACACCTATCAGAGCCCTGGACCATCTGGTAAGGTTTTTGTAATTTTTTAATAGCTTTTTTGTAACATTTTGACTTCTTTTTTAGTTCCATGTCCAACAAATCTTCTCTTCAGCTGTAATCCAAGTGTTGCACCAGTTCCATGTCAAAGTGTGACTTATGAAAAACCAGTTCCTCCTGCACCAGCACCCCTACCTTCACCACCACCAAAATACACCAAACCAGCACCTATGCCAATGTATTACGAACCTCAATATAATTCCGATTTATCGTCAAAGCAGACCAAACGAGAGAATGAAGTTGTCAATACATCAATTGATTCACTTGGACAGGTTGTTGGACAGCCAATTACACCATTGGAACCAAAAACTGCTGCGTCTGATGACAGTTTAATTATTGCCGGACAAGATTGGTCTTGAATGTGACTTTAAATTTGTGGTGAATTTGAAAATCAGATTGAATAAAATTTTAAATTATTGAAAAAGTTGAAATTTTAAAAAATTAAATTTATTTCCTTTTTATTCATGTCATTTTAACAATCTTAAGGCTTGAAGTTAATCTTCTTCTTTGTGACAACATAAGCCAAATTATGATAATCAACTCCATTTTCTCTAAGTGTGTCTCCACTAGCAAGCATCATGTAGTAAGGCTTCTTAGTCAAATCGAATGTTGTCTTCTTAATCTTGACGGTGTCGACGCGCTCAACTTGACAGTAAATACGTCCATCAATAATCTTCGAGTCAACGAGTGTAATGATATCTTGTGGCTAGGTTGGCAATTAAAATATTAATAAGAAAAATAAATTTTTATATTAATGTCATAACTTACAATTCCTTCGCGTACAGAAGCATAATTAGCACCAACAACAGTCCATGATGAATAAGCTTTAATTTCATCACCTTCTTTAACACATTCCATAACCGAGTCATCTCCCATCTCTTTGTCAGTTGACAGACCCATTGCAATATATTTTGCACTTTTCCATGATCTCATTTCAAAAATTACTTTTCCATCTATAAGTCAGGAAGATTAGCATTAATTATGAGTTATAAGTGCATTTAGTAGGGATTTTCAGATTAAGTTTATAATGTAGTTTGTTTTGATGTGCTTGGGATTAGATCAACCACTTTTTCTTTTGTATCATCTGTCTCCCTTGGTTTAACACAATCCTTCCCCGTTGAAGTTAATAATATGTATAAAACTCATTGCTACCTCTTGAAGCAAATCCTATTCCTTAAAGTTCATGCTTACCCTTGCAGTCAATACTACCCCTTGAAGTCAATCCTAATCCTTGAAGTCAATCCTACCCCTTGAAGTAAATCTTATCTTATGAAGTCCATCCAACCCCCTTGAATTCAATTCCTAATCATTGAAATAAATCCTACCCCTTAAAGTTCATCCTACCCCCTGAAGTCAATTTTACTTCTTAAAATCAGTACTACTCTTTGAAGTTAACCTATTCTCATGAAGTCCATCCTATCCCTTGAATTGAATTCCTACCCCTTGAAATCTATTCCTACTCCTTGAAATAAATCCAACGTCTTGAAATTAGTCTTAGCTCTTGAAGGCAATTCTACCACTTGGAGTTAATTCTTACCCTTGAAGAGAATACTAAACCTTAAAGTCAATCATCATATAAATGGTCAAGTCAATAAACCCCTCTCAACTTATTATCCACAAACTTCAGTTTAATCAGAGGGAGCCTTTCCTTATTTTACAATCCATATTATAAAATGTTAATAATATAGTCACTAACCTTTCACATAAGTTGAGCTCATTGTAACACAATCTTTATCAGGAACGCAATCGCCAGGGTTTCCTAAACATTGCTTTGTTGTGCCACATCCTTCATAAATATCATATTCACCGTGTGCACACGCGACTACGAGAAGCACAGCTAAGATGATTTTTTGGGCCATTTTTCTGAGAATTAAATTACAAAAAATATGTTACTAATTTTAGGTGTTATGGTTGTGATGATCCTTAGTAACTTGATAGAATGATAAACATTTTCTGAAATTAGATGCTGCAGCACGCGACATCAGAATTTACATTGCGTCATTTGCTACGTGATTCTTGGATCCTTTGTCATCTTATCAATGTAATATTATATCTTTGTGTTTTGAATAATATTTTTAAAACATTATTTAAGGAACAAGAGGCTATATGGAAGCATTAGATAAATGATCCTTGACTTGACGCAAATGTGATAATGAAAATTTTGGATATTTGATGAGTTTTGAGTGTGCATGGGTGGGTTTATTGATGTAATTGCCCACACCTGCGTCTAATATTAGGTATTAAAGTAGTAGATATATAATAATTATATAAGGATGTAGTTATTGGTTTGTCCAAAGGTTTTTATTGCCTAGACTGTAGATAATGTCTGTTTAGCAATAGAAATTGGCTCTTGAGAGGGTCAAACCTCATTAAGAATATGATTGAACCCTAAAACATTTTTCCATCTATTAAACAACAACTAGTGGGAGAGATTGGAGTATGAGTCGACACAAAACCTTCCAAACAGCTCACACAAGACAACATAACCTTGATGAGGACTTTAACATTTAATACATGCTTATCATACCCCAACATCTGATATATGATTTCTAATTACGTCGTAGAAGAAATAATAACAACATTATCCCCATTTAACCTGTTCATTGGCATAGAATCCTTCATCTCCACAACAAACATTACATATTCCATAAATAAAGTCATCACGTAAAGTCATTAGAGCGGAAACTGAGAAGAAAATTGCAAACTCATAACAAGAAGCCAATAGAAATTACTTTTTTTTTGTATTAAATTTCTATTTAATAGACGTCACAAGCATAAGATGAGACAATAGTTTCAATAGAATTGTCAACGACATAGGTCATTGATTCGTGAGGAAAACAATAGCAATTGATATTGAAGAGGATATGCTGATGATATTTGAGATGATTTGGCAGTAGGGCTTTCAATCCCGGGTTTGAAATGTATGTAATCACGGGATCAAACCCGGGATTCAGTACATTTTAATCCCGGGATTGAAAACCCTAATTAGCAGAAATAAGAAGCTATTTGAGATTATTTGGATATTTTAGAACCGATCTCTTTTTCGCGTAACAGTCCCACATTTTAGTCCGAAATCCAGCGTCCCTCTTTCCAGTCAAAATTCAATGAACTAAAGAGCTTCTGATTGTTAAACTATGGACCTTTCCTATTGCCTATCAATAAAATTTCAACATTCATCATTGGTGAACAAAGTCAAGAAATTATAAATTCATTTGAGATTTTCCAGCTCATTTACTACTGTTTACTTATGAAATCACTAAGCATCAATAATTAAAAACAATTTATTTTGTAAACAATCAGAATAATAAGCACATGCTTCTATTTTTGACATGTTTGTAAGTTTTTTTTTGCTCAAATTTCTCACGTACGCATCTTTTTGATTTCTTGATAACGATTCTGACTTGAGATTTATTTAAATTATCATTAAAAATTTAATTATTTCTTTCTAGAATGTATTGGATGTCTTAACAATCAAAGACAGTGTTGTTCAGACTTTGTAACGCGGCACACTGGTGTTTCGTTGAAATTTTTTTTTAAATAACGCAAGCCGCAAGCTGTGTGCGACTTTGGCAATGGTGTGCCGTGGCTTAAAACAGTTTGGCCAGCACTGATCAAAGAGATTGGTCGACGGCATTAAAATGGACTCAAGAAGTACGATTGAAGCATTACTGAGTTAACGCTTTGATTGTTACGAATTTAAAGCTGTTTTAATTATTTTTTTGAAAATTAATGACATAAAAGTTAATGTGTAGGATCATTCAAAAGCTAGTTTCTCGATTAAACCCTCCTGAAAAGCACACATGGAATAATTGTTTAGAAATCCGATGCCAAGCTGACTCTGGAGTGAAGCCGAATTTAAATCGTATCCAGCTGCATGTCAGAACCATTTGAGTTGAATTTCTGATCGAGTAATTGTTTTGAGCTTTCCGGGCCTACGTTTAACTATATTTAGTCCAAAAAGTAGACCAAAAATCATTATCTGGAGCAGTGACTGCCAACCTTTTTTTTGCCACAGCACACATTGATGGTCAATCATAACAAAAACCATGGCAAACGGCTCGTGGGATTTATCGAAATTTTAATGACGACACACTAGTGTACCGCGGTCCCTGATTTGGCCATCACTGATCTAGAGCAATTTTGAGCAACTTCTCTTGTCGCCATCAAATTTTGTTTAAAAGCCTAATTTTCATTTCATAGTTTTTTTTTTAAATCTAGAGCAAGCTGCCTCTAATAGTTTCAAAAATGGACCCCAAAGTCAGATAATTCTACTCTTAAATCTAATTTTGTGACACTTAATGCCAACAATAAGCTAAATTCAACCCCAACATACCTCATTTTATCAACCAAAATTCACACACAAATTCTAAATTCAGGTCACAAAAAGCACTGACGTAAATTCCAACAATTTTTGATAACGACACTACATTAAAGCCTTAGAAACTCTTACCTTATTTCAATTTATATTCAATATTCAGTCTCAATGTCAATGCCAATATACTCGACTCAAGAGTAAGAACACGACTGAGTTTAAAATGCTTTAAAGTAAGAATTTTGTGATTTGAGATAATCTGACTAAATGTAGAAAAAATTTCTCTCGCATCTCAGAACTGGTTCTCTGTTGTCAGGGATTATTGAGAATTTTAAAGAAATTCCTAATGAGAATAATGGAAGAGATTCTTTGAGGTTTTAAATACCTGACTTGTTGTTGTTGTTGATGATGCAGTCATTGACTTCTTTAAATGGTTATTTCTTTTATGATTTGTTATCTTATAAGTTGTTTTGCTTGTGTTTAATGCGAATGCGAAAGAATACTATTCTATTGGGGATTGTTCATAAATGATGCACCTTTCCAAGTTGAAGAAGGGAGTGGACAGGTTTTTTATGTGTGAACTGACGATTTTAAAGAGTTCTTGGCTTCATTGTCGCTAGCATGACGAGCAATTCTCATCAAGGGGTTTATATTCTAAAATCCAGTTTCTCAGCTCTGTCTAATGGTCATTTTCTTTGAGCTCATGAAAATTATGTTAATAATGTCTTGTAATCCAGCTTTTTATCTGACATAAAATGCAAATTATTCCTTATTGGATATTGAACTTATCAAGGTTAACATAATATAGGAAAGGAACTCCTACGAGCATTTTTTATAATAAATAATCAGATCAGGATAAATTCTCCAACATAAATGGCAATGAACCGTCTTAAAGTTCTTAGCTATTGAAGGTCTTTAAACAAATTGATTCTTAATTATTTTTTATGTCTCCCAGCTTGGGTGCTTCAAAACTTTTTAATATATTTTAAATGTTTTTTTTTTGCATAAATTTTTTTTTCAAGGTCAAAGAACATTTATGTAAAAAGGAACCACAAAATACTCATTAATTTTGAATTCTTTGAATTATTACAAAGAATGACGTCTAAGAAGAACAAAATTAAAAATTCTTTTAAAAGAATATTTGCATAAATTATTTATATTTATATTAATTATTTTTTTGAGTCTAGAGTTTGTTGTCAGTTCTTTCATGAGGGGTCATTTATTTCAAATGACAAAATATATAATAAGACTACATATTAGGTTAGGTACCCGGAGAATCAATAAAATTTAAAATCAATAGTGTAGCCCAATTAGAATTGCAAAACAGGTCGAGGGACAGGTGACAGATCGCAACTCTGAGCCGAATTATAGACAAGCTCTTTTGAACCATAGGACACTTTTGTGTTAAGCTATGAGCAAGACCGCACACACCATACGATTCCTGAGATTTTCAAATTTTATTCGCGGTACTCCGGTTGAACATCACTGGTGTAGCCTTAAATACTGTGTTAATAAATGTACCGAGGGAGTTAAATTTCTCAATAAGGGTCAATTATTTATTTTCGCATACATATTTCAGTCTCAAATGACTCCTATAGACTATTAAATCCCATTAATCCTTCTGACTATGTTTATAGTCTCCAGGAAGTTGGTTTAAAACTGAAATCCAAGTTTAAATCATAATAAGGCACGATTATGAATGTGATTTTGTAGCACACATTGGCCTTAAACTTCGATTATTTTAAAAATCGTCAAAAACTACAGTTCATTGTTTGAAAATTTAGCAGAGCTCGAAGTCGATAGGGTTCGAGTCAACTCCAGTTGACTAGACTCGACTCAAAACTTGAACCTCAAGTCGAGTCGACTCGAATTGACTCGGAGTAAATGAAGTCGACTTGAGAAAAGTTGAGTCAACTCGAGTCGACTTCGAGCTTTGAAATTAAGAATAAATATATTAAAGAATATAACCCGAACAGCACAAGTCGGGTAATCGATCAAATATCAAAACCATCTCCATGTCAGGGTCACGCAAGCTTAGAATCTGATTTTTTAACATTTTACCGACTTGTGCTATCCGGATAAACTTGTTGCCATAACCAACCCATCGTTTACTCACATAGTTCTAGCTACGCTTCTTAATATGAGTCATTATTAGCATATACACTCTATAGTAGTAACAATAATAATATTTTACTAAGGACAGCTGAGGTATTAAAATGTTGTGACGTGAAAAATAAATTTAATTAATTTTGTGGAATAATTTTTATTGAAAAAGATATCAAAAAATTCTACACTTTTCTTCTCTTTTGATAATTTCTACAGCTTTTCATACTTAACAATGTCTTAAGATGGCTTATGGCCCTGACAATTTGATAATTCACAGAATTATTAAATAAAATTTCATAAATCACATCAAAATTTTAATTTTAAAGCAAAAATTGAGCATAATTTAGAGACTAAGGTGACATTTGGTTCAAATTTAATATCTAATATCCTAGACATGGGGTGCATTTAGAAATGTAACAGACTATTAAGTCGAACCTCCCCTAATATTACACCCCAGCATTGCTCATACTATATCCCCTACTTCCATCCCTAAACATAAGCATTTAATGTCTTCTGCGATATCGCATGTCCCAAGTTATGAATCTGAACTCTATCCGTCTTAACTTTACTTCCTGTTGCCATCAATAAATAAAACCTTCCACTTTTTAAATCAAATGTTTTGCCATCAACCACAGACGACTCATCACGTTCAATCACACATGAAATTCCATTTTCATCACTTTTGCCTGATTGTAGTCTGATAATGTCCTGTGGGATTCCATAACGAATTGCATCATATGTGCCACTCTGGCGAATTGTGTATGATGAGTAAACTTTTACATCACTTCCTTCTTTGACACATTCCATTGCTGAATCGTCGCCCATTTTACGATCAAATGAGAGGGCTGTTGCGATGTATGCTGCATTTGGTGCTGAGTGCATTTCGAAGAGATATTTTCCGTCTAAAAATAGAATTAAATTAGATTTTTTGTAATTTTGCATGATAAAGGCTATTTTGAAGATATATGTCGGCACTAAGGATGAGCTGAGAATATTTTGGCCTTACAAACTTGACCCGTCTAGCCCTCAAAATGGCCTCCACAATACTAAATACCAACCCTTCTGATACGAAGCAGCAAATGACTTGCATGAATTCTTCTTCACACATCCAGATGGATATCCAATACATATTTTAGTGTCACCACAGCCTTGATACATTGGACTTGCTTCAACTTCATTTGGTTTTGATATTCTGAGTCCAACACTGTAACTCATGTCGCGAAACATTGTTGTGTTAAAGATTGCGAGCATCCAGTATGGCAGCAACATGATTGTGGGATAAAAGGTTCTTTGGTTTGTTGGTCTAAAATTGAAAATGTAAAATAATTGGGTGTTAAGTTGGTTTTGTAAAGAGAATGGATGTTCTGTCAGTTGTGGACGAGGACTTTGTTCTTGCAGTTTACTGACTAATCTACAAGTCGTAGAGTGAGATTTGATCATTATAAGCTTAAATAGACCTACTAAATGCGCAAGGTTTAGAGGAAGAGCAAACAAGTACCATTCAATCAGTTACAGACATTCTTAAAAGACTAAAAGGACAGACAATCTCTAAGATGTCTTAAATGGTCAACCAACCCTTAGCTGCACTCCAAGTCAGACTAGATTAATCTCATCTAAACAAACAAACTTAATTCTGTCATAAATCCCACGAGATTAAACCTTTAAATTGATAAACCATCCCCTCGAGTCATACAATTAACCCAAAGATTAAACAGTCTCTGCAGATAATCAAACGTGACTGATTCAGCACAATATTGATAACTTGATCATTAAAAAAGTGACTCATTTGCTATGGCCGTTAACTCATAATATGGTGGTCGTATTAAAAAATATTATCAATAAATCCACAAGAGATCACTGAAAAGTTCACGTAATTACTTTTCAGAACAAATCGTGTCGACAAGCGATAAAAAATGAAGAATAAACTTTTTTTAATGATTAATTTAAATTGAGACACAGATGTTTATTGTAAAGTGCAGCAAGCTTGATAAATGGGAGCATTAATTTATTATGATTTATTAGGGTTGAATGGAATTTAATTATATTGGTCACTGATATTGGATTGAGATGAAATTGGATGATGTGATGATGAGTTTAGTCGATGGTATGAGTCATAATTGGATGTAGAGGAGGAAGGAGGGAGGTTCAGTGCTGTGTTTAGCTTAAAGATTGCGGTTTTTGACACGATGTACCCCAATTTTTGTAAAGTCTTATCAAAACTGCTCAAAACTAGCGTATGCCATGATGAGCTAATGCACACGCACACTACTGTTGCTTTTGTAGTCTCCGGACAGCAGTGTACTTTTTAAATGCCAAAAAAAAACTGCTTTAATCAAAAATTAGAAGATAATAAAATGATTTTAGACAAGTTTTGATCATTTTATATCATTTTCTATCACTATGTCTGTTCCACATCCTTAACCCTAGTCCACAATACAGAAGCGTAGCCAGAAATTTGAAGAGGGGGGACAATTTTTTTTATATGGAAAAATTTAAGGAGAGGGGGGGGGGGTTGTGAATTTTTCATTAAAACCCTAGCAAAATAAAGAAATTTCTTTTTTTTGGGGGAAATTTGTGTCCCAAATCCCCCCCCCCCTTCTGGCTACGCGCCTGCCACAATAGCTCAATAAGAATTCTCAAAATTAAATAACTCATGATGCATCAAAAAACAGTCTCAAAATATCATAAAAACCGCAATAAAAACAACTTTTTTTATCACTCAAATGGCAAACATTCAAAAAATTTTAATGTATTGACATTACATAAATATCCACAATACATAGAACACTATTAGTATTTCACATAAAAGCTAATTCATATGTATTAAACACCACTTTACAGATCACCATGAACACGTGCGTACAACACAAACAAAGAATCCGGCAAAAATACTTTTAAATACACAATTTAGTGTGTCTTGGTCTTCATTTATTTCTTTTTCTCGTGTTCTTATGTCACTATTATGTGTGCTGAGATAATTTGACTCATGTGAGACAATTGCCGAAAATATTTTGATTAAACTCAAGTGAATTGCTGTGATTTCTTCTTATTTATGCTGATTGTTCGACTAGTTTATGTGATAATTGATAGGTTTGGTCTGGCGATGATTGGTTTGA